CCTATTATGCTATTGAGTCCTTCCTGGGCGTGGCCAACTGGGGAGCCAGCCGGAACTCGTTCCTGTGCGTTCCTGCCCCAAAATAGCCCTGTAGGGTACTATGGCAAGCATCACAGGATAGGAGAAACAGCCCTATAACCCCAAGACCTTTTAATGGGGTGGGTGGGGTGGGAGAATCGCATGTCTGTTAGGGTTATTATTTTGTTCTGGGTCTTTTGTGCTTGCCAGTGAAATGATAGGAATGCCTCCTGGGGTTCAGGTCCTTCTTTCCAAGAAAAAATACCTTAAAGTTCTGATACTTGTCTGACAATTTAGATTTTGGAAACGTTGTGAAATAAGATACATTGCTCATGCTTTATAGGAACATCATGGATAACAAAGAGTTCTAAAAAAGCATGTTATAGCTATTTAGTATTTCTTCAGGTTCTTTTAGTGAGCAGATTTGGGTCTTTGCAAGACTATCTCTCTGCCTAACTGGAAGAAAAGTCTGCTACGGGTATGCTAACGTAAGGCCTAATTTAGAGATGATGCTGGCTGAGTCCTCTGTGGGATTTTTTCATTTGCACATAGGGTGGGTTTGATTTAAATAAAATTGATTTAAATCATGGTTTTCTACATAAATGAGTTTTGCCCAAAAAGCAGAGCATTGCCGCCAACACGCTGATGACACTTCTGGGTGACACAACGAAGTGACCTGGCAATCCCCATTGCAAGGTGAACTGTCTCCAGTTTAAAAGGTTAATGATTCATATTTGGACAACTTTTCTGCTGTACTTTATTGGAAGGAGGAAAATAATAATAACAACACATTAAATTGTTTTATTTAACTAAAACAATAATGTTCTATAGCATATGTATTCTTGTATTTGCTGAGACATCTGCTATTGGCCTCCCCCCCCCCCCCCCGGGCCCCCAGTCTGTAATGGCCCCCCCAGACATGGCCACCCTGGGAACAAACTGCTTCTTGTTGAAATCTGTTGAGGCACTGATCTTTTACTGAATATTGTTTTAGATAGGTTTTTAGATATATTTTAACTGTTGATTTGTTGTATTGTGGATTTTATGATGAAACGTGCCCTGAGCCTGCTTGCGGGGAGGGTGGGATACAATTTGAATTAAATAAATGAATAAATAAAGATCTCAAGAGTATTCTGCTCAAAAAGTTTCATTTTCATTTGTACTGTTTGCCCCCCCCCCACTTAGCTCTTAACATATCCTTATTCAGACCTATTCTACCCCAAACAATCTTATATTCATTGAACTTCTTGAAACTTACCATTTACGAGATAAGGGGTTGATTCTGTGTGCATAGATTTATAGGGGACCAATAGGCCTGAGGTCTCTTAGCTCTTTATATTTATTTTATAACATTTTTGCTGTGAAGAGCAGGGGTCATTTCCTGCAGGAGCGCACAGGAGCGGAGCTCCGGCAGTAAAGAGCCCAGGTAGTGGGTACATGCAACAAGCCCCGCCCCCTGCTCCCAGCAGCCCTCAGTCAGAGCAAGAAGCAGCCAGGTAAGTTGCAGAGCTCCCCCTGGCCCCCAGGTCCAAAACAGTCCAGTGGCACCTTTAAGACCAAGTTTTATTCAGGTACAAGCTCTCCCTCCTCTGCGAGGGCAGATCTG